GGCAAGCCGCTACCGTCGGATTGAGTTGCACGCGGCCGGGAGACTCTCAGCGGTAGCTGATGGAAAGAGACAGAAATGGGACACAGGCGCCCATCAAAAATATTTCTATCCAGTGTGGGTTCTTGAGTGCGTACGTGTGTCCCCTTCCGTCTTGCATCTGGCCCGAGCCGCTCGGCGGAGTGAGGGGCGGCATCGAGGCAGACATAAGCGGGCCGAGGAATTGGGCTAACCCGGCAGGGGTCTCGGAACGGTACCGGGTTAGCAACTCGGCAGGAAGGTGGACTACGATTTCAAGACAAACAGACCAGCGAAACCCAAATCCTGCCCCTTGTGCGGATGCTGTTAGAACGAGTTACGCGTGCTGATCCTGGAAAACACGGCAGCCTGAGAGCATAGCCGACCACAGCACAAAAGCTAACAAATTCAGCGGACAACATTTTTTTGGTTAGCCCTCGCTGCGATGGCACCGCACTTGTGGACAGGTGGTACGCGCGCGTTATATCTCTCATCGGCCAATGGGTGCCGTGAATTGAATTAATGGACGCGCGCGTCATGATTTAAGTGCATGTGTGAGTGCAATGGATGCCACAGCGGTAATGTCTCCTCACGACAGACCTCTTCTGTGTCGCTAAATAAGCAAAGATTTTGCCAACTGTTAACCAAACTGGCCATTAGTTCAAAACAGAAAAATAATTAACAAGATGATAAAATGTCTGACGCAAATATTACATCCCTAAACTATAAACACTTCTACTAAATAGGCCTATCAAATGAAATGCCACCCAATACGGGCGATTCACAAAAGTAAAGTGCGCCTCCAAGAGTTTGTAACACGTTGGCCAATCTTAACGTGCAAATATGTCGACCCTTTTCAAACGCGCATTGCGTCGACAGATTTCGCGCGTCGTGGTTAGCCCAGGCGTTGCAAACTCTTGGAGGTGCACTTTTATGAATCAGCCGTATTTAGCAACAATTCGTAATACCGTAGGTTCTGAGACAACACTTGATGCTAACCAAGGGAGAACAATTGGCGAACTTCTGCGCGCCCACACCAAATGTCAGTGTTGGACAAAGTGTCAGAACCAGCTATCAAAATCTGATTGTGGATGCGACAATCCTTGTTGTGGATTGATGCAAGTAAAGCAACAATGCCCACAAAGTATGAGCCACATTTTGGATGAACAAAATATTGCTCTCCCCCTACCCGTCTTAAAAAAATACTCCCATTGTAAATGCGAAATGAGCATATAATGGCTATTAAGTATTTTCAGTGAAAATAAAAATCATTAAACCACAAAATAAACCACTTCCCATGTGCGTCAGACAATGAGCCGTCTTCGACCTGCAATCGCTTTAGTTGCAGTAAACAAAAACCGAGTCCGTCGATTAGCTAATCTTGAAAAGTAATATAACAGAAACTTAGCTATACACAACTTTAAACTACCAAAAATAAAATACCAGGCACTACCAACACCCCCCAAACAACAACAACAACCAAAAAAACCCCAAAAAATCTCGGTCAAGAATTGATCTTGGTCAACTTTTGGGGGAATCGCCACCAACTGAGAGGAAACGGTGGATGAAATGCAAGAAATAGGCCGCATTAGTTGCAGGGCGACCCATGTAATCTGGGCCCGTATTACATCATGTTGATGCCGGCATGCCGAGACCTAGATCCGACACCTGACTCACGCTGGTGGTGTCCTCGTTTCCCGTCAATTTTAATCACATTGGCCCCACCGCCTGACCCTCGTAAATCGTAGCACATGATCGTTGCTTCTTTTTCTGGATTCGTGTTGTGATATCGCTCGAAAGAGGAACAGCCAAAATTGGGCCAGCGAGAATAAACACATTACCCCATCAATGCATGAGGGAAAAGAAACGGAAGGAAAAACTGGGGCAAATTTTTGGCGGGACTCTTGAGTTTACAAAACAGGCCGAAAGTTTTGAGACGCGTCATTCAAGTTTACAAAACAAGTCGGAAAGCGCAGTACTGCGATGCTGTAAGTTCGTTTTAGTATCTGTTTTATGAAAACAACGTGAAAAATTGGCAATAAGTACAATGCCATTGATTCTAGAGTTAAATTTCCCCAGGGAAGAAATGATTTCCTGTTCCCTCCAAACAAAACCCCAATTAATCACTAAATTATCTTCAGTCTTAGTGCTTTGAGGAAAGGATGAAATTTGCCCCGCCCGGCTATTTACTCTGACGACCGCGCAACGCATTCTTTTCCCATCACCTGACTCTAATTGGCCTCATTCACAAGTCAGCCATATTGATTTGAAAGCCTAGGTTGACATTCGTTTTGCTTTGGAAACTCCGAGAACAAAAATGAAACCGATGAAACAAGAGCTCACTATAGATTAATTTCGTTTACGAGTAAATGATTAAACTAGTGAAGAGTTGTGATTTATTATATCTAAATGTTATAAGCAAGATTAAAAAAGGAGGCATCGAACCCCAAATAGTGTGGCACCATTCAAGTGTTAAAAGCGCCTCCTCGACAGCGGCCCCTCATGTGGAGCCAAACTTGGACAGAATAAACAAAAAGAAAGAGAGAGAGAGAGAGAGAGCAATTCAGCATAAATACATCGAGCCATCAAGATAGCAAACCTGATAAGCAGTGAAAAAACCCGACAAACTAAGAGTTGGTGTGAACCCATTGAATTTGGGTGGTTACTGGTTGTGAGACTGTTTTATTCCTGCCTTGTGGCGTTCTTCGGTAAGCCGTGTCTTTCATCGGAAATCCACTAATCGCCAGATTGAAGCTAACGGGAGAAAAAAAGCATCGCTAAAAAGTTGTATAACTGAGAAAAGATAGATGTTTTGGTAAACTTTTGATGCATCCGGCTTGAGGAATCGGGGAGAACACACCTGGTCCGATTAATTCTCCCATTGGTCGGTTTTTTTTGTGTCTGACCTATTTATGTTCACGCACGTACTGCCTTTGTACCGTACATTCCGACAGCCAAACCACCAGAAGAAAGAAAAGACGCAGCGAGTTCCAATCGCATTTTCACATTTGCCTGCGACTTACCGTTTGCCGCTGGCGACTTGCCTGCTGACTTTCACAATTACAGGATGGCGGCGACAAAATAAAAGTACCTGTAGTCAACTTCTTCTTTGCATTCAGACTTCAGCGGGCTCAGTGTGCCTTCCGACCCGGCTGAATTGACCGTTGAAGCAGGCACCGATAGCTGTCACGCGAGCACAATATTTGCTAAGGTACATAAACTGGATGGGCCAACGCCCATCGCTCAGCTTCAAAGACGCAGGAGAAGAATGAATTGAACATTGGAGGGTGTTACATCAAATGAAAATGGAGGTTGCAATTTATTTTTAGATGGGGGGAGGCATTGCAGGTAGATGCAATAAACGGCAATAGTTTTCTGGTTTGAAACTCAACTACATCTATGAAAAATGTCATGTTTACTGAAGTTACAATCGGTTGCCTGTAGGGGGGGGGCAACTTGTCCCCGGATTTTTTTTTAATCAGATAGGCCCATTAATAAAAACATTTTATATATCAAATTTTAGCACCAAAACTCTAAGAAAACTACATCGCGAAATAAAAGCAAGGATGTCGGGACCGCGAGTAAGGCTTTAATTTAAATAATTTTGCTCCCCCAACATCATGTTGAATAAGCCCGAAGCTGCATTCGCTTTGGAACCCCCCCTCCCCGACATCGAAAGCTGGATACGCCACTGGTTACAATAATGATTTCAATTGTGGATCGAGTCGAATTGTTTGTAATCGAAGCTCGACTGCTCTCAAGTACTGTAACGCCCCTTCTTCCATCTCGTATTTTTTTCGGCGGGCGTTATCCGAGCTCCTTGGAACGAGATTCGAGATGCCGCTTAGGAAGAAACACTGCAGTAGACCTGCTCGAGTTTTAAGCCTTCGCAACCTGCCATTTGGGGACAAACAGAACTTCCTTTCATTCACAAGCCGGCCACTCACCCGTCCATATTCTCGGTATTCATGGTGTGTTGGCGCTTATTGTGCGCGTCCGACAAACCGTGAAAGGGCGAAACATTGTTTTCCCACGACGCGAACAAATCTCCCTTAGAAAAACGCCAAGAAGTCAAACACGGGCATGTCGAGGGGTTACACGTCGAGTCAGCCCTGCGTGTGTACGTGTGTACGTGTGTAAGGCACACTCATATATTTTATGTCACACGAGCGAATCAACTTAATGTCTGGTCGAGTGTTGTTGACAGCAAAGAGCTTTCAACTTTACAGCCAAACGGGCAACCCTTTTCTCACTTTCTGTAACATCGCATGGCATAAATGCCAGCTCCCAATATCTCACTCCAAAGGTTTGATTACATCATTGTTGTTCCGTTTAAGTTCGTTACTAAGGAAACAGGTGAGAGAAGCATAGATTAAAGACACTCTCATAAAAGTATAGGCCCATGAGTTCTACATGTATGTAGAACCACTACATAAGACGGCCCTGTGTAAACAATTTTATTGCACCCATGACAGAAATTTTAGTATTCTGAAACCGACCAAAAAGACAGATAATCCATTATTTACCTGTGCTGATAATTGCTCCTGCCATATCAAGGGCCTCATCTTCCGGGTATTTGTTCGGAACTTGTATATAAAAGTAGTTTGATCATGAAGTGTTTGAAGCCAAGCCACATCTTGGTAGAAATGAACTCTAACCCTTAAAAATGCATCCGGTACATCCTGTCCCTCTGCTTTGTGGAAAACAGTCCCCGGATGGTTATATCGGTCAAGTCCTCGCAAGTGTGGCACAGTAATTCACACGCAGTATGAAACCACACACCAGTGTGTCCATTTGCACGATAATGGCCTTTCTACCTCTCTTGGTATTTCTTATCCTGCTTGTCAAAGTATTTGCCTCAAGAGCAAAGGGCCTTCCCCTGACTAGATCTTCGACAATCCTCCCCAATTTTTTTTTTGGGAGGGGGGGAAAATGCAAAATTGCATTAAAGAGATTTAAGACAATGTGATAGTCATGATACTTACCATTGAAACTATTCATCGTACGTCCATCTTTTTTTTAGTTTCCAAAGAAACACGAAGGGTCCCTTCAGAATTCCTTCACACCGAGCTCAGAGTTGAAGGCAGACCACACGTTGTCAGGCATCAAAAGATTCTGGCCACGGACGAGTCCAATCCGTCGTTACAAGTCGTTACAGTCAAAATGCCGTCCAAATTGTCGCATCGTTCATAACTGGGTAACCTTGATGGGGATGACCAACTCATGCAAAACCGTCAAGTTTATGACACTTCAAACTGCAGCGATATTTACGGAGGGTGTCACCAAACTATCCAATTGTCTTTCATATGATGGTCACTTCGCAACCACATTTGGCTGTGTCGCGAGCGAAGGCCGCGCCATGTGTTGTATACGTGTCGCTGGCCTTTTCACAAAATTCGGTGCGCCGATAGAAGTGGTATACGTCAAAGGACCCTCCCTGAATTAAAATGCCGGCGCTCCTAGCCAAACAGGCTCTGCACGGCTTCCAGACACCTGTGCGATGCGCGAGCATAAACACACCGGCCGATGTACGTGTCCGGAATCACAAGGAGGCACCTGATGCCGTTGTCTTAGGCCCAGCTGGCCAACAAGATCACCTGCAGCATCGCATGGTCCTCCGTCGCTCATGTCCCTTGGCTGTCTTGAAACCTTGTGGTAGCATGTCTGTGGACAGTGCTTCGCCTGCATGGTGATCTGTTCGTATTCCGTTTCCAAAATGCACTTCGTGGAAATGCTTTCTTCTCAATGGCGAATCCGATCTTCTTGTAGCGGTACCATGGCACACGGACGAGAAATTCAATCGAAGGAAAGAACAAATTCAAATGAACCCCGATCGCGAGCATGTAAGCCTAATACATCGACGAAAAGTAAAGTTCATGTACCCGCAGTGCCCGCATATGTACACACACACTCACACTCGTATTGTCAAGTAACGTTATACGGTTGTCTCAGGCCGAAGTGTATTCAAACACAGGCTTTGGTCCGAGCGCCAACAGATACACTAGCTACACGTTCTCTCTTTTTTTTGCTGGTGGCTTTTGTACCATTTTGAGTCCAAGTCAAAAACCACACACTTTTTTTTCAACACAGAACAAAAAACCTCACAACTGGTAAACTTCTCGTGGTTTTAGTCAACACAATGCCGTACTCTTTGACAGTACACAAAAGCAGCAACAAAATCTGTCCAGACCACCAAAGCGATTGATGGTGATAAGTAGACCTATGCTGAGTGAAAAAAAGTAAAGATGGATACACCAGACGTTAAAATTCAGTTCGTTTAAAATAAGTGTAATAACTATTCCTACTCGTCAGTTACATTTAATTTTTTTTAGACTGTCAAGCGTTCGTTTCGTTCTCATCCAATAAATGTTGCAATTACTCCGCCGTTATCGAGTCCGCCCCACCGTCAAGCAGTTAAAGGCCCACAGCCAACACTGCCATTGACTGAACTCTTCGCTTTAATAAGACGCAGGGTCTACAGTAAAAAAAAAAAAGTCTGAAGCCATTGTGCAGGTTTATAAACTCCTCGCACTGATTCGGAAACTTGAAATGTATTATTACCATATAGCTGTTTCACTTCACGGTCGACTGACCGCAAAGTACGCTTGGAATAATCGAGCGCCGTATGCTGGCGGCCGTGGTTCAACTTAGGGCCGAGGGACGCGAGGCTTCGAAGTGAATTAATGCAGGTGACTGCATGGAAACCAAGAGACTCAAGCTGGCCTCCGAAAATAATGATTAAGATAACACCAAGTTACAATGACCGCAATTTTTGGATTCCCCTACATTTTAATGTCAGGATCGTAGAAAGAAATGTGTAAGACAGACACAGGTTTGTATCAAAGTTAAACAAATCATCTGGCCAGCAAGAAAGGCAAGAGAATTAACTCACTGGCCGCAAACCCCCAAGAACTCGGAAGTGAATGACAAACTCTTAACACATTTTTTTTCACGTTCCCTCTAAATATGAATATAAAACTGTCCCCAAACAATTCTGACATCATTCGATGTCTGTTGATTACCGCCACAATAGTGATCAAGGAAAATTGCAAGGTCACAGGTGATTCCACCAATTACCTTTGATTTTATCAACCTGTATAGTGACTCCAATTTTCCCTCAGTCACACCCAGTTGACAGTAATCGGCCTACTTTCAATTGGTTATTATAATTATAGCTTGGGTGAAATGAAATGATTAAAATGATGACAGTGATACAATTAAGACACAACTGTTTATGAGAGGTGCCTCACTAGGGAAGCGTCCATGGTGTCTTATTTCAGTACATTTACAAAACCCTTGACGTTTTACCAGGTGTGCTACATCCACGTCAACCGAGCAGCAGAGAGACCCTTGGTCCCAAAATGTCTTGACGGTTCCAACTGCGTCAAAACCGGTATGAGTTGTGTATTGCGTGACCAGCGAGTCAAAATTGTCCCTTGTCCGTCAAATATTCTGGAAGCGCTTGGAGTTTTGTGGGCAAGGTATCTATCTCCGTGGATCGCATCACTTTGATGAGTAGCTTGGATGCTTACTGCCTGGTCAAGACACCTTGTCTGTCAGCTCCAAAAGGGTTTTCATCAGCATCTCCGGGTTAGGCTTCGACGCTGTAGCGGTCACCGAGTAACCTTGCTCCTCCATCGCTGCTGTCGTCGTTGGACCGATAGAAATAAACTGCGTACACCGAAGACAGAACGAAGGGGAAAAACAATTCACGTAACAGATCACTAAATCTCCAGCTTTTTGGTATGCACCTAATGCGGCATGATTTCTTGAACAACGACATCTTTAGCCTGTGATTTGGGACCCATATGGAAACATTCGTGCACTGCTAAGTACGCAATGCTAAACTCTCTGCCTGGGCAGAGTACAATTAACAAGTTAAGACATGGATTGGCACAGAGTCTGAAGCAGAAGGAAAGCTCACATGGCTAAATTTTAGTGTTTGCATCTCTTTATAGATGCATCATGGAAGTTTCTACTTTCGAACAACGATGCATCTGTTTCAGCTGTGGTTATCACAGATACTGAATCCGATGGTGGAATGAATACATTTTGGTTGTGATGAAAACTCAACCATTTTACATCTCGGAAGCAAAATGGTTAGCTTTCTCTGGAGAGAGAGAAAAATCATTCAGATGTCACAGCGAATCCCCATCATCATAAGTCAGGGTCTTTGGCGCATGGGAAACTGTTATTTAGCACGGGCAGACAATGAAAATATTGACAAAAGTAGTGGAGAGTCACTTGTATTTCAGGACTACAAATCATGATAAGTGAATGCTAAAGAAATGACAGGACAAAAAGGTCGCGCGGCCTTACAATCAGACATAATTTCCATTCTGCTTTCTGGGCATGTTATGTCTAACAAAAAAGGGCGGGAAAGGGGGCACGCTCGTTCGTTGCTAAGGAAGGTCTGGCCCCACAAAGTATTTGCTATGGATTTGGAGACTAGCCCCGGGCACCCCAAATATTTTGATGGATAATCTCTTAATGAAATGCTGAGTTAGAGCAAAAGTGTAAAAAGCGGCAGCACCTTTAGAATCGGGCCTTATACCGACGGCCTGTGTTGTATGCATTCGGTCCAAACACTTGTCGGCTAAGTTGCCAACACAGGCGTGGAAAGGCTTCCGACTTAAGCAGGGTGACCTGTTGCAGAGTCCTGGCTTGGTGAGGAGGGGCTTTCTGAAAACTGTCAAACAACTGCTCGTCACATTCGGCGCCCTCCTCTTCATTGTTCGTTTTGAGTGCCTTGCGTGCGTACGCCAAAATGCAAAAACGTGGGCCACAAACTTGCAACATGTACCCCGGGGGAAACAGGTGATGTGGCGGGAAGTGTACCGTACGGCAAGCAACCCCTGTCAAAGCACCTCGGGTGTACACGCAAGGATTACTGCTGACGGACAAATAGCAACAAGAATGCTTCCTCTCTTTGATGGGTATTTTTCAGCGGTCGTGGGATATGTTTAATTCCGAGCAAACACCACTTTTTTTTTCAAATACCTACACCACCTGTAATTGCCCGGTAGCTTACAGTACCATTCAAAAAGGGGGGAAATTAATAATCTGTTCGTGTTCATTTCAGTCAAGAATTTCAACCATTCTCCGTTTGCTACCCGACACCGAGCCTGAACACTGGGCGAATTCTCTCTAGGCGTATACTGATTGTTAGGTGAGCTTTTCAGCCGGCAAAGTTCACTGACTAGATTATGGGCGAGCCGGTTTCCCTCTCGACAAAGGCCTGTCAAATGATACGGTGAGTTAGGTGCCAGCCGAATGTGCAGAAAAAGCTGGGGTGAAAAGCTAACTCCAACACGTAAAGATTTGTAAACTTTTGCGGCAGTTATATCGGTATAACATTGACGACAAATAATGACCGCATTTTACCCTAATCCTGCGTTGGTCATATCCCTCCTCGTACAAAATACAAATACGAGTTCTCACAATTTAAATCACACCTGTATAGTCCTCAGTACAATTACCAACGAGGACACAGCCAAGTCCTCGCACAGTCAATCACAAGACATCTAAGTCTCAAGTCAGGTCGCAGGTTATTTCAAATGAAATCTGGCGAGGTATTTCTTTGCTAAACCTTTATTATCTGTAACTTGTCAGTCAAATACTTTTAAGTACTACTGCAAATGCAGTTTAATACTGAGTAGATTTGAATGAGTAAAAGTACAGGATAAATATATCTCAACGCTAATGTAAGCCTGATATAGTATTCACTGTACTATTACTGATGTGTGTAAAATGGACTACTAGTATGCTTAATTATTGTACAAAACTAAATACAAAACAGAATACAAGTAGGCCTAATGCAGCCTTTTTATTTCATGAGCAGAACTTCTTTATATTTAAACTACAATGATACTCAACACTGCTGTACCCAGGGGAGGAGGCAAGTTGCCCTTGCCCTCAAGACATGTTGCCTTACTTTTTTTAATTCTGGGGTATTGAAAGCATCAGAATGTGCATAAACAGTACCGCCACATCTAATCTTGGGAAAAGATTTTGTTATGAGTTAAAGAAACACACAGAACGGTATTTTTTTTGGGGGGGGAAATCAATTTTGTTCCCTTTGACCTAAGACCTGGAAACATTACTGCCAGTGAACTGGATGCCAGTATCTATCTGCACTCTGCGGTTCAATTTATTCCTCAGTCTGGAGTTAGCTTACATCGTTATCACCATTCGGAACCCACCCTTATACCCTACAAAGACTTAGCTATGAACTCTGCAGCAGATAAAAGGAAATATGTTATCACCTCTGCCATGTAAATGCCGACCTTTCATAAACGAGACAGAGTGACCTAGTTTGTACTCAAATCATTATAAAAAAGCACTGACTTTTTGTTAGAAGGGGGCAGTCGAAAAAAGTTGAGAAAGTAGGATTTTCCAAAGAAATCTTGGGTTAGTAGCACTTCATGCCCTAATCTTTTTTTACCGGTATTCAAAGTGACGTAATAACAATGAGGGCATGTCCAAGAAAAAAGATTTTGTAAAGGAGGAAAGGGCAAAGGGATACCTTAAAAAACAATACATCCATCTGTGAAATCTGTGAAACTACCTCTTGCAAGTAAAGCCGTGGAGTTTCTTTGACGAACAAGTAATTTCATTTCCAAGTCCGGGTTAATGCCTTACCCCTAACGAAACAAAAATGGAACCCATATTTTTCCTTTCATCTTGTGTTATCATCCTTGACATCTCTAGTTTTGGAGTTTGGAGATGTATTCAACAACATCCCATGAACTGGGGCCCGTGGATTCGGCACTTCTTTCGATGAAACATACTGCTAAGCCGTGAGTTATGGCTGGCTAGTTGTTAAAAGCACATTTGTTTACACAAACATTGTATATAATGCAGTCTAGCAGTCCACTTAAAGAAAAACATTGTCTACGATCCCCTCCCCCAACATACACACCCCCAAGATATTTATTTAACAAGCCACTTTGGCCGTAATTTACACACTCCAGCGTTGAAGTGGATGGTCCAATGCTTTAATACATTTTCGAAACGCTGGTAATGAACCTCTTTTTCCAATACCGCCCAAAATCTTGAGTTTCTGAAAATCAATTAATCGCGTTTCCTGCGTCTGATGGAGTCAGGCCGAATTAAGTTTGCCTGAAGCATGCTTGAACTTGCTTAATGAATTATATACTTTAATCCATCCAGTTTTTTTCAGCAAGCTGTGACTTAATAAATTAACTAACAAGTTTCCATCTGCTCAGATAGTAAAGTTGCCTTATGAGAAATCCAACAAATATCGCTGATTCCACTGCAAAAGATACATCAAGAATTTGGATTGTTAGCGATGCTGCAATTTTGTTTAAACTTCCAACCGATTGATTGAACACAGAGGTATGAATCCTGATAACTTGAGACTGCTTTGGTGGGTAGAATAAGCATTTTATGTTCACTCAAGGAAGCCCTGAGTGCCGGAATGAACGCTAGTCTGGTTTCCTGCCCAAAGATTCCCCGACGACTCTTGATAAAAAATTCTTGATTTGTAGAGTAATCAGAATCATTGGGTCTGGTATCCAGACTAAATGAATGTAAGAAGGGCTGAGTTCGACTGAAAGTATATTGGAAGTTGTTCACATAAAAATGAGTCTGCAACCAAACGATCAGTTATTTTATTGTGAATTAATTTTCAGTGACCTGCAATATTTCAACTAGATTGAGTGAAGTGTGGTGGTTTTCCGTCTGGCGACATCCGTTTTTCCCCAATCACCAGAGCTGTGTTGTAACTGTAAAGGTCAACAGGTGACTATAGAGCAGGAAAAGTCCTTGACATCATCTTTAAAAAAAAGGGAGCGTTGGGAGGGGAGGGCCTTTGCCCTTGACATACAGACGGTTTAGCCCCCCCCCCAAAAAAAAACCCTGAAAGGTAAACAAAGAAAGAACCGCACGAACTGACCCAAACCAGCACAGTATGGCTTGGAGACAAGTACCACTGAGCAAACCTATACCTATTTGTTGGAATACTTCAAAATAACCAAAAAAAGTGTATTATTTGCACATAGAAATAACACAATGGGCACCAATGACTCAAATGATATCAAAGCTAAGCAATTAACAAACTGAATTTAATGAATCTTTCTACAGATTAATTATCAATTCAAATTAATTAATCTTGATTATCATTTGCACCGAAAAGATAAAGGATATTTTCAACTTCTGAACTGAAAGTAATGGAAAATATATGTTTCTATGTTGAGTTCTCTGAGATTATTTTCAATTTCCAAGTTAATAAAATCAGGGTTCCTGCACCTAGGACAATTAAATTCAATGACTTTCCCATGATGTTAGTCATTTTTACAAAATTCCACGACTTTTCCAGGCCTGGAAAATAAAAACAAATCTCCCTGACTTTTCCTGGCTGCAGGAACCCTGTAAAAACATCCACGGGTGCAACACAACACATGGTGAGGGTGGTGTGTGTGTGTGTGGGGGGGGTTTGGGGAAATCGCATCCAAACAGAACATCAGGACACGTTCGGATGGTGATGCCCTTAATGTGCAAAGGCTGTTCCGGGGTCAGAGGGAGTATTTACATTCAAGTTTAAGCTGTGTATTCATGGGGTCCACCCGATGAAGGATTTACCACTAGTGAGGGCAGGAACCGCACACAAACGTGACACTCTGGTGATTTTTATGATGTCACCAAAACTATTAAACCTAAGCGGGGGTTTATTGGCCACCAGATCTCACACTTCCGATGAGACGTATATTTCACATTTTACAGTTTTATGGGGGAGGGGGGGGAAACAACTGTCATATTGAGACAGCTGAAAGTGGGAGAAAGCACTGAAGATTCCCAAGCTTTTGGCACATCTTTGTTTTGGAAAGAAATGTTTGTTTTTTTTGGAAGGCAGTAATTTAAAGGTTGGTGTTTAAAAACTTGGCCAGCAAATTGGCAGGATCTTTTGGTATGAAACAAGGCAATAAATAGGTGACTGCTATTAGGTAGGACCATGTACCTGTGAAGAACACTGAGGTAGAAAGAAGAATGCCAGGGCCTTTCTGAGAATTTTCAAGAAGCAAAACCCATCTTCTTCATTTGAATTCCAATTGAAAACAAAAAAGTCCCGGAGAAAAACTTGACCCCTTATCGAACTCCTCTCCGCTTGTATTCCATCTGCATGCGTAGGATTGATGGGTTGCCTGAACGACAAGAATTTCAATCGCCCCCTTGCATGGGAGCACTGGTAGGGGATATTAGGACCCCATTAGAGTCGGTAAACGGGCACCTGTATTTATAAAGCTACCGCAGGTGTGCTGGGCACAGCAGACATCACAGACTTGTCAATTCATCAATGCCACCGTGTGGCCGTTGCATGATGAAGTGCTAGTACCTGGCCGGTTTGGTTTACCGACTCCCGCTGCCTGTAACTTTGCCAAACCACAACCTGGACCAAATTCCTGGCATTCAGGCATTAAAAACTGCACAAAGACTGACCCCCGTGCAGCGGCAATTCTCTAATTTATGAGCAATAAGGTGCAGAAACAGAGAAACTGAATTCCTTAAAGTGTGATGAGATGAGGTCTTTGCCAAGCAATATGTAATTCTTTTGGCAAGAGAAATGGGATGGAATTTTTAGGTTTACCATGGCGAGAAGATCACTGTAGACCATGTAAATCTTCTGAATTATAAAAATGTGTGATTCAGAAGAACTGGTAGGCCCATCACTTGACCCTTTGGGTCAGTACAATGTGGGCCTAAATCCAGGGAACCAAGATGTAAGTACAGACGAAGGTACAGACAGGTATTTGCTCAGCAAACACATAATTACCATCCAAAATTCCCTTTGACTGTATTGCTTAGGGTGTTCCTTTAATGACTTTTGCTTACATACTAATTGTTTCAGAAACAAGGTTTGCCTGTATGAAGCTGTGACGTCACTTTTTATGAGCCGACTTGTAAAGAACTTGTGCTAAAAAAAGGACTAGGCTTATTTTTTCTTCACGCTTGTGTCAAGGACTTCTGCCGATGCTAGAAAATGATCCCAACTCAAACTGAGTGATAGATGCAGTTTAGCCAAAACAAGTAAACGGCTTTTGTCAGCGTCCGTATTTATGGCCCTCAATTAACAGTTTAAAGACTCATTAATTTACGGTGTGTGGGCCGGGCCCCCCTAATGCCTAGCTTGTACAGGTGTGTGGTGTTTGTAAACATCAGAGGTCGCTCTGGAGATAAACGAGTCTGTTTCCAGCCCTGCCGCCTGACCTTTGAATCAACTGAATGCAATGAGACAGAATGCTGGAAATGAATTCCAACTCTTTGGATCAGTCCTGAACTTGCAATCTTGTTTTCAGTGAAAGACCATTTGGGAAAGAGGAGGATTTCCGACCAAACCACACATAATGGAACACACTATGTTTGGTCTCCAACTGTTTCCCACCCCAACAGCCCAACTATTCTAATAACAAGAGCAAAAAGCCTCATAATGTGCCTGTTTAATAAACACTGGTCCCAGTGCCAACAAAGTACCAATGATAAGGAGCTGACTACAAATGCAGTGATCCTGTGAAGTGAGGTACTAGGGCAAAGATTTCTCGCCTTCAACAACTCCATGAAAACTCTGCATAGCAGGGAACCCACTGGTCAGGTTCCAATCCAACCTGACTTGAAGTGCTCCCTCAACGGCTGAGAAGAGACAAGTTAGTGGGAATTCTTTGGCGCACACCTGCAGACCATACAATCCAACAGCAATACAGGCAATTCATGACAAAGTGTGCCACCAAGAGGTTGCCACAGGGAGGCATTTTTCAAGTTTACAATCAACAAAAAATTGGCCGACTCGCCGCAATGCGCATCTGAGCAAATGTCCGTGGACAACTGAGGAAATTCCTTGCCTCACCCGAAAATTCTATCTTGATTAATTAACATTAGTACTCAAAAAACGCTTTTGAATCCTTAACCCTAACACTCCTCAGTTTTCCAACAGGTAAAGGATTGAGGAGTGTTAGGGTTAAACAATTAAAGTTCCCCCCCCCCACACAGTGCGGCTGGCGAATAGAACTTTGCCAATTTTTTCCCCATAATGCACTGCGAAACAAGCCTCTCCATGGAAACCTCTTAAACACATTGACTGCCGCGCATAATTTCAAAGGGTCTTTCCCATTTGCCAAGTGTTGTACGCATGCATGCATATTTAACAGGTGCCCTTCAGGTGTCTGTTTGAACACCAGCAGCATATTTGTTCTTCGGTGATGCGTCACAGTATCAATACAATAGCCTTTCATTTCCAACAAGTATACTTGTAGTCGGCGGTCAACGTGTTAATGGCACACTGTATTATACAATGCCTGTATCAGTTGTCCATGCTCATGCGGGTTCTACATCAAATGTACATTAACTTGTGCGGGCATATAGTGAACTCCAACCAAAGGACCGCCATTGCTACAACGTGCTGTCTCTTGATCCAGTCCGGTACAATGACCACTTGGGCAAGAGCTGGGACACAACCCACACGAAAGCTTAGCCGGACTTTCACAAGTCTGTACCCACTGCCATCAAAGGAGACTTGGAATCTGACTTTTGGCAGACTTGCCCGTGGTTAGGGTGAATTAAAAACTGACACAAATGTAGCCAGAGGAAGCACTAACGTCAAATGAGTCTGACAATATGATGCTAGTGGGCAGTGCTGGAGGACTCGAGTCCGGACCTTGACTTGAGTCCGATTTTTACGGACTCGGACAGCAAGGACTCAGACTCAGTGGACTCAACCACAGCACTGCTAGTGGCTAACATGAAATGCCAATATGCTCAACCAACAAGTGAAAGGTTGTTGCCCATCGGAAAATATTCCTTTCACTCAAGGTGAATGCACTATGCCCAACGGATACTTGAAGGAAAACTAAGCTAAGGACCAGTAGTGCTTGCAAACTTCCATTCAACTGCGATGACCTCTTCAACGCCAAAAATAAGAAGGAAAAAAAAAAATCACTTATGACACTTCTGTAATTTTTTTTTCCTTCAAAATTCTGAATTCAAGGTGCAAATCATTTCCTCAACACGGCCCGCTGACACTGGGGTATAAATATTTACTCTCCTACAATCAATTCTGGAAATATAGGGGTGGAGGAAAGCCCCCACCGCTGGACAAACGTGTCAGAAGTTAAGTAAACTAGCAAAGGAATGGGCATAAACAGGGCTCAGAGATTAAGGGCTGCGATGACGGGCTGGAGTGGAATTCCTATTTATCAGGTGGCGAGCGTGGTGGCGCGATTTTTTGCCATGATCGCACATCTTGCGGTTTGACATGGCAAATGTGGCAGGTGTCTAGGTGAATCATTTGAGTGCGTGGCATTGGCCTATAGATCTGGGGGGGGGGAAGTCCCCCCACATGTTGAAAGTTGTTTTACCCATATTGACACTGCAAACACTTTGAAAAATTAATATTGCCAATATAAGAAATTACACCACATATAAATGAAATGTGACCTAATGTGCCCAGATTTAGCATCTAACCACAAGAGCCCGACCACCATAATGACTCATAAAATTTCACACTGCCCCTTGACATGTGTTCAAGGAACGTGACCAATAATGACCTTGCCACACAAGTTTACTTACAATTCTCACAAGAATGACAAACTTACTGTGGTGTTGGAAGTGTTCAGTCTTTTCAGGACTTCTGCTGAAAACCGCACCCCAGACGGACTGAAGAACACAATCACATCTGGTACAGCCTGAGGATAGCAAATAAATTTCAAGGACAATTAGGAATCTTATTTTAAGAAAAACATCAAGTATCTCTTTTTCAACAAAACATGCCAGAGAAACCCCTAAGCTTTTCATACCAATCTTTGTTGTTATAGGGAATGATTCTCTGAGAGAGGGCTTATGGTGAAAAGAAGTATGTCAGTGTGCCAGAGTTTAAACATAAGATTTGTTGAACATACCATATTGAAATATCTGTCCACATTTTCTACCAGTGTTGGACTGCAGATTGTCTGATATACAGTGTCTACCTCGTAGCTGATTCCTGTAAAACAGAAAAACCAACAAAACAGTCGTATTGTCTGCTCCTTGCTTAATAACACCCAAAACTCAAGGTACTGGAAAAAATAGACGCTGATTCAGAGCACTACATACAATCAGATCTGTTACTTCTTCCAAGCAGATTTGAGAATCAAAATGTGAAGTAAGAAAGTTCTGCAAAATTCTACATTGACAAACTGTGTAGTGTATCTCCAACATGTGAGAGAAAAAAGCCATCTTCTCCCAAATCGAAACAATCCTCTTTCTAAACAGTTCTTATAAGTAAAGTATGGTCCCCTCCTCCCCGCCAAGAGAAACCACAATACAAACATCATCTCCAACTGTGTTAAACACCGAATTAAATTGGATTAAAACCATCAAATCTCAAAAATGAATGCAAACCACCAACAGATGAGCATAAACACCCTCCTAACACTCTCCACAAACTGAGCACACACACTGCACGCTGCACAATAACACCACAAAACACCACACTGACACCAAACACATTGATAACGAGGGAAGGCATTCAACAATACCTGCTTGACGCAGCCCCCTGGGGAGTTCCTCTCTTGCCAGTTCACCGCGGGGTATAAGCAGAGGCTTACTTCCCGGGGCAATGCCTGAAATAAGCAGTTACAATGCGAGAACCAAACTTCACAAAATAAGTCCTCAGACTACTTTCTGACGACTGTAATTTGGTTTTAGTTTTGGGAAGAGCAAATTGAACTCTATCTTGCACGAAAATGGACATTACACGGGTGAAAAAGTTGAGGGTTCTTTTCATTTTCACTGCGCCAGATTCTTTTAGAAACTCTGGTGACTTGTGACTCTTTCTGTTAGATTGGGTCGCCTTACCATTGATGTTTTACTCCTTACACTGTGAGAAGTCCCTAGATATAAGGAAACCCAAGTGACACAGGTGGATATCTGATTCTACCGTTCAGTTTCTAGTATCTGCAAATTCTGCATATCTTCAAACAACCCTCCTGAGAACGGAGCACAACTTTTTTCTATTCACTTGCCATGAAAAAAAAAAGAAGAAGGTTTCTAATAGCATAACTTCCAACATATCTTTTGGTTCATTTTATTCTCCAGAATAAAGTCTGGTGCCGTTTTCCCATACTCAACATCGTCTCTGTCTCAGGCTTGGCTCCCAAACCAATCCCCGATTGTGGACCTGGAGCGTTTAAATCACATTGGATTACTGAAATTTTTGGCTTTCTTGCATCATATCTGATGTTTTGTGGCACTATTAGACTGATTACTGCGCTTACAGCTTCAAAGTCAGCTAGTTAAAAAAAACAGTTGAAGCCTGAGACGGAGCCGAAGTTGAGTATTGGAAAACGGCCCAATAGCTGAGCACAGTGAACTTTGATTAGCTTGATGACTTCAATTCAACTCAATCAAAAACATGAATAAAGCGTGAAATGCGTACCCAGCAATGGTTATTAGTTTGAGAGTAAATTTGGAAAATTTTCACAATTTTTGCAAGCCTCTGTATAGTGAAGACAAACTTCCAAAACAAATGTTTAACGAGAGTGCACTCAGTGATCCATATTGCAAAACTGCACTTAATCCCTGTGGCTGTTGGAGGCTGCCTGTTGACTTAAATTCTACTGGTTAGTCCTGAGGCGGTCACGGATCAGAAGTAAAAGACGCATGGACAGCGCTGTCATTCTCTGCTTGATCAACTGCTCGATCATACAATGGCAAGAATTTTTCTGGATGATTGTAACATCTGCTACACAAAATATTCACCCCCTTTAGAGAAGTGCATTTACACCTGTAGGCTCTTTGAAAAAGATATTGTACATGTCCTGTGCAAACACCTGAAAATATGAGCAATATTTTCATGGAAAAGTAAACAGGATCAAATAAGTTTGACTTGAACAATGTCAGGTACACTGTTCCTGTTTGACCGTTACGGCAATTGTGCATTTGATACTGAAACTCTGGACTCAACATAGACTGTTGCTTTGCGTTTTGAACAAACTGATGGTCAGTTTTGCAGGGCAGTTTATCCCTAGAACCCTCCTAGGTCTTTAAAAATCCACCAGGAATTTTGGGATCATTTTGCAGAACAGAGGAAGAATGAGCCCTGCCAATGTTACTTTATGTGACACTTGGTGCCACTGAAAAGTTTGTGAGCAGGGGAATAGCTTTAATCATTTCCCACACAGTTTTGGAGGATTCAAGAAAGTTCTTTGAATCCAAGTCAAAGATATGCGCATATTCCCAATATCTGCCTCAACATGTATCTCCCGACATTTTCAAAGAACTTGTTACAAACTAAAAAACCTTCCCTAATATTTTCTTCATATTTTTTTTAGAAATGATCCGAAGATTCAACCCCACTGACGTCTTTAACCCTCACTGTGAGTGTAAAGCACGACCCAAGTTTTTAAAGAGAATAAGACATGTAATACAAAACGTAGCAATATTACCCTCTTTGATGACCTTGACCAGGTTGACAGCACTGCCCGAATCCTCCCCTAAGGCTGTCAACCCCAACTCTCTGGCAGCCACTGCCGTTGCTGTCCCCACGGTGTACGTTGGTAGAGCTGCCCAGTCCTTCCCTCTTCCCTCTTGCCATTCTGCGGGCAGAATAATCACCAGACATAAAACACACACCACACCACTGGGAGAGAATTAAATTTTGACTGTCATGGCACAAAACAAGATGGACATCCACAAGCGAGGTTGGAAAAGATCTGTCGATGAAAATGAAAGACTGTTGAGACTGTGGACTGGAAACACAGCCAGGTTTTTTCGTCTTACTCCTGATACAACAGGGCTGTCGTCTCATTCACACAGTCTGTGTTTATTCAACCTATGTGTTAGCAGTGAAGAACTAAATGCATGTACATGTATGATATGATATGAACGGTGAGTTCACCTTCGAGACTTGAGAACTTTCTGACGCACTTCTCCACGGCCTGGACGGTTCTCGCACTCGAGAATACAAGCCCAGAAAACTGTTCTGGATGGGTGATGTGAGAGTAGAGGCTCTCGAGATTGATGAACTCAAAGCTGAGGGGAGAGATGGACGTAGTGTCAAGGCCCTTCTCTGCAAACAGCTGCAAAGTTGGAGCAAGAAATGGGAACTGAGCATGAAGTCTGTTTCCAGTAATGACATACTGTTCCCCAGATGAATAGAGCCAGTTGATGAAAATGCCAAGACAGCCTCCCAAGCTCCAGCTACGAGTTATTCAACTCAAGCTAGCATCTGCCAAATCGGCTAGATCAAAGGGAAAGGGAAATGTAATGAAAACAAGTTTGGAAAACAGGGGCAAGATTTGAACCAAAGACCTCTTGGATCAATGCTCCAAGTGAACTGAATCTCTCTTTGCTAGTTGCATTCTGATGGATCAAATGATCCCCAAGCAAAATTGAGTGCATAGACAAGAAGTTTACCCCAATCACTTCAAACCAGAGTTGGATACTTAATCATTGTTAACAGTCACTTAGTCTCTCCATGATTTTGTGTTTTCACAGTCTGAGTTCTTTTTTTACCCATTCTTCAAGGGCCCCTTACGGCGAGAGATCAAGCTCTGAAATTCCACTGCTTGCCACCCCTATGCAACAAATTTGGTCTCTTGTCTGTTTTTCGTCTTTGAGTCTTCTACGGGGTAATTCTTCAACTTGCACGGATCTTTTACAATACTTTATGTCCCCTACCCGATTCTACGATGAAGGCCACTATGAAGTTATGTTATAAGTTTATTTCCATCAGGTTTACAAAATAAGGTTCAGAGGCATAGGCTACAATTTTTCATTCACTTGACAGGCAACATAAAAAACAACTTTTAAAAGCACTAGCCTCTGTCGAGCAATTCTACACTATGTTAGTTAATAAAACTGAGCTGTGCTGAAGATAAATAGGCAAATCTTGCAGTAAATCAATCAAACTGATTATTTGTTTGACCTATAAAATTAACCTGATTTAAACATAAATATAAATCCAAGTAAAAAACAGCTTGATAAATGCTTGTTAAATAAACTCGACCGATTTATGACCTCACGGAAGACGGTTGGCGAAATGCAGGTATCCAATCATAATTCATCATTCACATTCCACTACTATTCAAGCCAGCAAAGAAGAAGAAGAAAAAAAAAACTAGAGTCACTTGAATCCGTCATGGTAAATTACATTTACACAAGAGATTCTCATGGCTGACCTAGTTCACACCGACACGCAGCTTTTCATTCATGGTGACTTCTGACTGAAAGGACCCTCCAAGCCAATTCTTCCCATTCTGTGTGGTAAAACCAACACAGATCGGAAACGCTCTATTTACACATACAAAAACAAAACACCAGATCTCGGGGCACTTCCACCTTCCACAGCAAGCCCACGCACCGGATATACATCCAGGGGCATGCGAAGCAAATAAATATATTTATCTTCGACTTGAGGATAGATGGCATCCAAACCTACTGTGACATGCACGTGAACTGCATTCTGCCTCCAGCCTTGGGGAGAGAAAAAAGTGGGAGCTACTTATTTCACTCAACGCACTATTTGGAATTTGTCAGGTTAAAGCTGCTGCATGGCTTCTCTTTAAGATGTTATACTTGGGGCTGGAAGTGTAAATCACGATACTTGTTGGAAGAGTAACTCTGCTGCTGGCATTCTAGCCTTCTGTTAAGGTTTCTGTCTAATTTTTGAGGTTTTGCAGACCAAGTATGGCGTTATGGATAAATGGAAGGACAGAGATTGAAGCATTTCCACAATTTGTGCATTTGTGTTTTACTTGACAGCCACACACGCTAAGCAGGAATCTTCAAGGTCAAGGAATTTACAATCAGAAAGTTGTAGACAGCGGCCTGAGGCAAAGTTGTGGTTAGAGAATTGACCCTTTTTTCAAATTTAGGCTTTGTTTCCATCTGTGGCTCCACCTGCAGCTCCACAATTCAGTTTGAAATGTCTGATGAGGGAACCAAAACAAACTTCTTCATATCTTGGCCTCGCATTTGACAAATGGATGCTTGTGTATCCAAACAGTGAGCTGTGTTGAGCTTACAAGAGTCTCAACTTAAGGCATCGAACCCACAGAATTGAAGACAGAAAGTAAACGTGGAGATGCAACTGAGATTTGGAAAACCCAAACATCTGTCAGAGGTTACTTTTCAACACCTGAGGGCGCTATAATGCAGAAGCCCCAGTGACAACTTTATGAAAAGTAAGAAAGTTGAACAAAGTATACTGCTATTTGCTAATCGGAATATTGACAATTTTCTTCCATGCAGGGTATCCGTTTCAAAGTTAACTGTTTGAAATTTCGGGGAGGGGGGGAATCTGGAAATTCTCTGGAGGGTGTATTAAATGGAGACACATGGGGAACAAACAGAGACGCAACTAACTTATGAATAAAATTAGGAAGTAAAACTTCCATATAAACATGAAAATTATGCATTCACACTGCAACTGACCTAGAAATTCCATAAACACAGAAACGGAATGGAAGAAAACACATAAAAAGGGGCCAGCTCTTTGAATCAGAATGTGATCTCTAAATATGGTTGCAGAGAAAAAGTCAAAGCAAGACTGTCTCTTTAAGCTTCACCATGAGAGAGGCAATTTGTACCTGTTACCGGGTTGTCAACTCTTCCTTTAGTGGGGCAATGAATCCCTCTTCTCAAAATCAAGGCCATTTGTGTTTACTCTAAGTTTTGCTTTTTTGGTCAAACAGTGACAGTCAGGGTTTAGTAAGAATTTTTTTTTTCCATCAGAACTTTTGATGCAGTGGACCCACAACACAAAGAAAAATTCAGAAATGCATGCACAGTCTGGGTTCGAGTTAGTTTTTGGCGATTGGTGAAATGGATTCTTCAGACATTGTTTGTGTCGTCTTCAAATACACAGCTTGCTGGAGAGGCAAGACAATATCAGAATCTCCCCGTAGGATGTGTGTAATTGAAACTGAAGCATTTGGGACTGTTAGGGATAGGAATTTCAGTGCGCTAAGCTGATCAATGTCCCTCAAGAACAGTCTCAATTGGCCTCCTGTGACTTGCTGTGCCATTTATGTGTATCCTACTGGCAGGAATGTTTTAACCACTTGCCACCAGGGTTTCCAGTACCAGACACGTATGCTTTATATGCGTGGCCGGGGTTTCCGAAATTGGACAAAGGGAACTGGGCCTTGTAACAAAAGACTGTACTCGGAACAAAAGACCAGGTTGCTGGGCATTACCAACATTTTTTTCACTCTCAGTAGTGGAGATAATCCAGCCTTGCTTTAAAACAGCATACCATGGTTTGAGACATTCAGCGAGTGGATTACCACTGGGGACAAAAGCGCTCCACAACCGCAGTGACGAGCCACACAGCACCGCTGCATGCTAATCTGGCCCCTATTGAAAAGAGGTCAGCAGCGCACTGTGCCAGGTTCGTGAACAAAAGAAAGTTACATAACACCACACAATATGGGCTCTTTTTACAAGGCTGCAGGCCTGGCTGAAATACTCGGGCATCAATAGATGTCGACTGTCAGATTAGAGTAGCCACCAGACAGTCATTCGTGTGGGTGTAAACGTCCCTTAATTGAAATGATGAATTTTGGAAGAATTTTGAAAACTGAAAATCTTGAAAATGTCCCGATTATGTGCACTGCATTTTTCAAACCACCCAGCAGCAAGTGGTAAATAGGTTAGTGAAGCATCTATGCTCCATAGAAAGTATATAATCAGACAGTATAAATGCTTTGGAAATGCAAGTATGAGTAAGTTTGCAGTACATCCAGGGATGTGAATGAACAACAAAATGGGGTCACACTGGGAAGAATTTCATAACGTGGACATCGCTTGTTTTTCCCTGCAGTGACATATCAGCCATCAGAAAACAAAGCCATGCCTAAAAAAAGCCAAATTTTGCAGGGAACATACTGAAGCATTTACTTAGAAAACTGTTGCGGACAAGTCGTGTAGGGATGGCAAAAAGGGTGTCAAGTGATGTCCGGGTATGGAACTCTTCTCACAGTACTTTGTTGTGGAGTTATTGCACCCATAAATGCCTACTTCAGGACTGCTTCTGGAAATTTTGAAAGACTTTCTGCAACCGAATTGCCAGGAAAATGAGTCAAAGGACCTGATGGGCATGCAAAATAGTTTGTAGCAAATTTACATGTGTGTCAAGTAAAAGCCGGCCGAGATGGGAAGACCAGCGTTTTAGAATTTGATTTCATTGTGTTTGGCTTACCTGTTGGTAGGGATCTTGCTCACTATCGTCTCGAGGAGCTCGCAACAACAAGACTCTCTTTATTGTTGCCATGATCTATTTTAGGATAAAATCAAATGAATGTCATCAGCAAAGATGTGAAGTTTAGATCGTCAAGCTTATATATGAAGGCTACCCCCAGAACTGTGGGGTTCGTTGTCTGTAGTGCGCCTCATGGGAGCGTGGCAGATGACGCACCCCACAGTTCTGGGCGTACATGAAGGTCAGACCATGGAGCTATCTTTTTTATAGCTCCATGGTCAGACATGTGAGGCTGTGAATCATGATATTATATAAACTTACAAACATTTAAGGCAAAAATCGTCACGGTTGTCGATAATAATGATGTTTTTATCAAAATTCATAATTTAATGTATAAAGCAAGGACACCATGCCGTTTAAGAATCTTTAGCCTAATAAAAACTGGAAAACTTGCCGAAGAAGTGCTGCATGCTAGGAATGATGTAGGCAGAGCGGTGGCCAAGGTATAGCAGTACCAGGCTAAGCCCTACCCCCAGAACTGTCGGGTCCGACATCTGCCCTGCTCCGTTCGTGGGAGCGGGGCGGATGTCGAACCCCACAGTTCTGGGGGTAGCTAAGCCCAACTCTCAACCGTGTCAACTGATCACGGGATGAAGAACATAGAAAAACATGTACATGATGTACACAAAAAGAGCTGGCCATTTATTGTGCATGAACAGATTTGGGCACTTTGTTAATCACGTCACACAGGAATGGGTTCGGGTGACCGATCTGGCTGGAATCTAGGAAATGTCACGATCCAGATCAGATGGGCCTAGCCTCGTCAATAACACAAGTTCAGTGCAGATATGACATGGCACTGTCCATGTAGGCAGAATGCGCACCCATGCTGATTGGCATGGCAATGCATTGCCAGCGGCATGTGGAACAACTGAAAGCTGAACGAGTTTTTCGTGTGTTGTAGGCACCTGTTAATGCAGTCATCATGGCCATACGAATTTACTTCAATTATACTTCAATGATGGTCAGTTCAATTTCCCCGCCCTTGTTCCCCTCCCCTGTTCCCCTCCCCTCTCTTACCGAACGCGTACATACCTTTTGGTTACTTCATGAAACAGTCGTCGTTGAATGTGTAAGCTTTACCAATATTTTTATGTAGTATGTAAATATCCAACAGTATAAATCAAAGATGAATTAAAAACATATAAAAAAATATGATACTTGTAAAACAGTATTTTTAAAAGAAGTTTAAAAGCAAGATTATGAAGATATTTTGAACTTTGAATTTGAAAGTGGATAATTGTTGAAAGAGTCCGTTAAATTTCAATATGGCGACTTACAGCAAGAAACGGCGTGTTGAAGAAAATCTGGCTGAAAAAGAAGAGATTCAGGAAGAGAATGACGACTCCAGCGACTCCAATTCAGATGAAGAGGAAGAGGGATATGACGATGATTCACCCCATCCTGAAATAAATCAGGTCTTGGGTGGTGTTTTATTTATTTTGTCATTTACGATACTGTTCCTGACCCAGAACTGATAATGTCAACTCAATGATGTGCCCAGATTTCGTACATTTTTTTCCCGTTGATTTGACTTATCATCTGACATGGCTGTCAGTCTTGAGAGTAAATGCAGAAAACCCTTCCATTCGATATTATTTATCACTGTGATATTATGTTTTTAACGTTAAATTTCCACGCACCTCTCTGGTATGTCAGTTAGGCCCTAGGCCAATGGTGATTTCCTCATATTTACACGTACGAACAGGAAGTGCAAGTTGAGTTTGAAGCTCTACCACCTCAGGATAATGACTTCCATGGAATCAAAAGATTGCTACAACAGGTACAGTTTTATTAATCCCAGCATGCAATGTTGCCATTGAATGTTGGCTAGTGACCTGTATAATGTTGACACAGCTCATAATCATACATGCAAATGAACTTGCTAGTGCCACAAGAAGATGCCTGCAGTCAAGAGCCATTTCGAATTTTCTATCATCACAACTACTACCATTTTACTAAAGAAGTTTGTGCACAATTTGTTTCTTCCTTCACCGGTCCAAGTTGAGTTAATGAAATGCACAGTTTTGATCTTACAAAAATAGAATGCTTTTGATATTTCCAATGCTGCAGCTTTTTCTGAAGAGCAGAGTTAATCTGTCAGAGTTGACCAACCTCATCTTGTCTCAGAATCACGTGGGGAGTGTCTTGAAGGTATTTGCATTTTAGAAAAACCAATAAATTTGGCAAGATATTATTCCATCTCCACCATAAAAAAATGAGAAACAGAATAATCAGATAAAATAACAATTCATCAGTGTTTAGATTTATGTAAATGCATAACATGACCAATTTTCAAGACGTATTTCATGGTCTTTTTTTGGCAAAAAAGACCCATTACAGGTTTTATCCCACAACCAGAAGTGTAAGCTGTAATCAATTTTCTAGTCTAACATCTGTCGGTAACCTAGTCACATTCTATATAACAAAATTGTTTTCGCAATTGTAAACATATCCTAAAAATTTTGAAGCATAAGCTTTTTCTTGGCTTTGCAGAGACTGTATCTACTGTTGATTGGTTATCCTGTGTTCTTCAATTTTTTTGAAATAACACCACAGCAAAGTGAAGCTCAGCTGGCGGAAGAAAGCGATTCCAGTGATGACGACGATGAAGATCACGTGTATGGTGTCATTACGGCCCTCAACATCTCTGACAAGAAGGTGTCTTGATAATTAAGTGCACAATTATTCTGAAGGCATTTGTCAAACTCTCAAAATTATTTCTCTCATAGCATACTTTATTCTACACCAAGTTGTGAACAGTGCTAATTCGCTCGAGTTGAGCAGACTATAAAAGCAAAAAGCTTTTGCCAAAGCACATGATGCACCGCCGGCCTTCATTTTAATGCCAGGTTTTTTTTCCCGTCCAAAAGAATGAAAACTGTGTGAAAGACATACAGAGCCTTCTGGAGGAGAAGTGTACGAAGTGCGCGTCGCCTGCGGACCGGGAGCAGTTCATGCGCACTCTCGACGACCCCGAGCACAGCGTGGGACTGTTGCTCAACGAGAGATTTGTCAACATCCCACCACAGTTGGCACCTCCCTTACATAAAAGCTTGCAGTAAGTCCCTTGAGGCCATATTTGCTAGTAGAAGATTGCTGCTTGGTAGAGACCGGCTACCACCGAAAGTGTCGTGCGGGGCATATTTCTGTTCACTGGTTTCCAACTGCTTGCTTAACACATTAATGTGCTGTGGTATTTTTTTTTTTGCTTACAGGCTTTGTGAGATCAGTGCACTGCAAATATCACTCAAAACATCCATATTTTTTTAAATTATGTACTAAAGCATATTTTGCACTTACGGTCTTGGAACATTCACATGTGTTAACCGAAAACATCTCCAGTTCTTACTCTGAACAAAAAGTTTACTCCTGTCTGACAACTGTTGATCCGCAGGAAAGATCTACAGCTGGCATCCAGGAAAAACCCCAAGTTCAAGTTGGACTACTTTCTGCTCATCTGCAAGAGCTACAGGGAAGATAGCAGAAGACAGCCAGCCAAGGGCAAGAAAAAGAAAGCAGCAGGCAGTGTGACCCCCGAGAATGAGTTACTGTTTTCCAATGCTGAAGATGAATATTTCCACAAGGTAAAACAATGTCAATGTACATTCATGCATGGGATGGCTATCGAATGGAAAATGGTTTCATGGTTTGGAACCATGTCTTGGTTCGTGGATTAGTGCTAGGTCTTAGTTCACGGTTTAAAAACTTATGGTCTTTGCATACGACAACATGGTCTCACTTCACCAGAAATAAACTTGGCATCTCAAAACTCTCAAGTTTGTGTTCTCACCAAGTACAAGCAACAAGCTGTCTTTGACTTTAAATGGATTAAAAAATTGAAGCCAAGACGACCAAGAACTCTGTTCTTGACCGAGATCACTATAGTATTATTACTGCAGAAGATTTCCCATGGGATAAGAGCTGTGGGTCCTGCAAAACTTGTACAAGACAGACTCTACAGCAGAAAGTTAGCAGGTGTTGCCTGTTTGTGTGCTTTTTTCTTCAGGCTGCTGTGCTGTCTTTTGAGTACCCAGTCTCAGCAGAGAGTGACTCGGCCCTCGGGGGAAGCTGGTCCTTTGATGACGTCGAGTACAAGACCTTCCGGACTGTCCTGCTCGTTCCCTCATCCTGTATGGCAGACATCTTGTCACAGATCGAGGAGAATCTATCGATATAAAGCTACTTTCGCCCTTAGTAAAAATGACCCTCCCAAAGAAAAACCCTTCTGGACTACAAAATTCAGTACTGGGCTCATAACACATTGTGGTCAGATTGTGTAACAAAATTGGTTTGCGCATTGCGAATGATGTTTTCAAATGCACATAACAGAATTATTGGTCATGATATACAATGCTTGTTGGTCGTGTTATGGATCGCGGTCAATACCAGATGAATCACAAGTGATCTTCAGGGGGACCACTGGAGAGGCACAGTTCACAAAAAGAATGCCATATTCATCACATGGACGGATATCCTTCTCTGCCAAACTACGTGTGTATCCGGTTTATTACACCAAGACAACATTTCACAAAAAGGAGCAGATCTTTAAATTATGTACACTACAGAAAATGGATAACTACATGTACTCGAGTTTCACTTCTGGAGAGAAACAAGTTCTTACGACAGTTCTTATCCTAAGGTTTGCATGTCACGGTGGCTTGTTGTGAGGAAACACTGTGGCCTACTGGAAAATTGGTTGTCACAAAGCGTGCCACGTATCAGAAAATACAAACAGGGAAGAGGCTCTATCAGTTTGTTGTCGGAAACAAATTTACGTAGTGTTTTTCAAATAGGCCCTGAGTTGCGAAGCTCAACAAGCACGGCACCTTAAAGGAAGCAACACTTCCAAGTATCTTTGAGACACACCTAACAGTGACATTTATTTGAATAAATCTAAATTAAATACTGGATAATATTTGCAACAGATGCTGCAAAAGCTGTCAGTTCAAAACGAAAAGTCATGACTGGCATCATTCTTAAACCTGTGTTACCTTCGACTCCAGCACCTGACAACCTGTAATTGTATTTACAGAGACTTTTAAATGGGGGGGGACACCATTTTCCTATGGGCTGCCATCAATGCAGTTTATTTCCCTATGTATAGTTTTACTTGATAAATTAACATGGTACAACACCCATTCTCAAAACAAAACAAAAAACCCAAAGACGACGATGTACCTGGACATTCAAGAACAATGGCTGGTGCAGGGAGAAGGCTTTCATTTTGGTCTGTGTCTTTATGACAAACGTAATTACCACATCAACCTTCTTTTATGACAGATTAAAGTCCGTTTCTGTTTATTAATTAAATGATCAAGGAGTGCCTGTCTTGCAGGGTTCAACCTTGTGCATGAACGACATTCTGCACGAATCTGCTTCTCAGCCCACACAGGCAAGAGAGAGAGAGAGACACGTTTTGTCCTCTTTCTAAACATGAGAAATCTTTTGAGTGAATTTTTTGCATCCAGTCACGTTTGTTGTGCGAAATGGACAGTTGCCAAAGACAAAGCTGTAAAATATGTAACCTTGGTATTCAGAGATTATTCTGTCCTACGACAATGCTTCAATCTTTTCCAGTGGAAAGGAAGCCAACGTTTCAGGCTATCATTTGTTAAGAACTGAACACCCCTGAGGGACTCGAGGTGTAACACGAGTGAGCTTGTTTTTACCACGCTCTTCCCGAGAGAGTTTTCAACTCCGAGATGTCAAATTTGCAACAGCCCGACTCACTTTTCACAAAGGGGACATTTAGTACACCACACAGCGCAGTACGCCGACCAGAGGCTGTACCACACTACAAAGTTTACTGTTGCGTTTGAAGCTTGGCAATGATGCGTTCCAGCACGCGCTTGGCTTCACATTGCGGGAAGTTGGCCATGTCGTAATACTGGCCGGCGATGCGGACCAACCTGCAACAGCACAATAGAGCATGTCTTTGTGAATGACAGTTCAAAGCAGATCGTTTCAAAGCCTGATGGTGTTCCCCGTTACCCAGGTTTTCTGTGTGTGAAATTCTGACAGAGATTAGATTTCTGGCTTGGACAAGTTGACTTCGAAACTGAATTTTAAAAGCCTGGCATCATATTACAACAGTGGAAATATTCTTTTGCAAAACTCTGCTCTCTGTGCCAACAACTGAAAATGTAACAGTAACAATGTAAGATAAACATAAACCACTTACATTGCAAGAAAAACATCCTAGGAGTAGTTGAACATTGCACAGAGTTAAATATTGTCTTATCTCAGTCTTCGCTACTATTCACAAGCACTGACTACCTACTTCAGACTAGCTAAGGGGATTTTCAAAACAAAGTCAAGAGAAAAAAATGCTGAGATTGTGTGCAAACTTACCAGTCAGCCTTGATGTCGGTTACAGTGCGGATGTAGTTCTTGGTGGTCAGTACAAATTCGTTGTACAGCACCCACTCTGGCTTGTGGTCCAGACATGTGGAGGGGTGGAGCTGGACGATCTGATTGTCTTTGACCGTCAGGTAGTGACCGGTCCGTTCCAAGTGGGCCACCTGCAAGCGCCCAAGACATAGAGATGTCAGGAAGAAACAACACCGGTACAAGGGAGACTTGGTGTTGGAAACCTGTCTGAACATCACATCCAAAAAAAACTGCTAATTCAGTTCACCTCGTTTGTTCCAGTTTTCTCTGGGATGGTAAATTGGTTTAACACTTGAGGAACTGGTTTTAAATAAAGTAGGACATGCTATAAACGATTTGAGAGTGCACAACCGCTGCACGAGGAATTTCCGACTGGACGAGAGAAGTCACATGACAAAAAGAATATGTGTAAGGAATGAGCCGGTACACAATCTTCAAATTATAGAAACAAATTTCAGTCCTGGTCATGTCTACCGAGAAGTAGGAAAACGGGTAGTTCGGAGAGGTTTGCTCTGATGATTAATCGGCGCCCACCTGCATGAAGAACCCCGAAACGAGAGCCTTGCGGATGTTAATATAATAGTCCTTGCTGTTGAAGTCGGTGCTGGTGCGCTTGAGGGCAAACCGATCCATGATGCGGGCAAGCTGCTGCCGTACGTTGTCGGCCGACTTCAGGGACCTGCTCTGGATGAAGTTGTCGTAGCACCACTGCACGTCCTCATTGTCTGTTGGCGAAAGAGAAAAAATGGGAAATTCAATATGGGCACGATAAATATTTTGTTGTCTTTTATATGTGGTCTTGACCCACAAAATTCAATAACCGACTTCCGTGCGAAGTGCTGAAAGTACTATGCCTCTTTAACAATACAAGTATTCCTCTTTGACGTCAGAGAAACTTTTCAGGCCACAAATTTCAAACAGTCCTCATTGGTGATTCTATGCTGTGGAGAGTGTTATACGATCTAACTTGCCTCTTCTTTCCGATGAGAAGCTAAAGTGTTCCGTGCAGCCTCGAGTGAAACTTGTTAGAGAAAGTGATGTGTACAGGCTAATACTGTGAGGGTATTTCTGTGAAGTGAAAAGTGTCACGGCATCCGAGAGGTACGACCATGCCACTCCAAGTCTCCCAGGCCAGCGGCTACTAGTTTCCAAGACATGATCTGAGAATTTTACGACCCACACTTTGAGCATCATAACGAGTTGTGGAATCCCACAGAAAACTATGAGAAAAAATTGGATTTCTATGTACTCACTCTGTTTGAAGGCATGGTAGACATTGAGCATGGTCAGGTGATCGCCGTCGATGTGCGCAAATCTCATCTTGGCCTCGTCAGCGGCCTTCTTGGCCTCGTTGGGTCGCAGAAAACACTGTGGAACTAAATTAATGTTGGGTGGTGGCCGCCAAAAAACGGCCGTCCATTCCCCGTTTAGTATAAACGAGCCAAACAACAAACCAGCACAGGCGCACAACACAGGCACGGTTTGGGATTAAAGTACAGAAGCCGAGCAACTCACTTGGCACCCTTCAAACTGAATTGACCAGAGACCCCAAAATGCCTCGGAGGGAAAGTTCAGCCTCCGTGCTCTTAGCTTTATCAGAACAAAGAGAAAGCCCAACTGAAATGGCATTCTCCCGTCCTGATAACCTTGCGCATGGAAAATGGAGGGAAGTTTGTCTGATGTGGTCACCGGTCCGCTGTGACCACTTTGGATTTGAGGAACATCCCTGGGAAGACAGGGCCAAGGTGACAGGCAAGGTAAGGCAATCTGACGAACAATATCAGCCATCAGCTGGTTGAGCTGACGCATACTCATTTTCCTTTTGATAAGCCACTGCATTTTCTAAAGATCTCCCTGGACAAAACCAACCCGGAGCACAACAAAACGCACGACTATCGACGTACTCACTCCAAGCTCGATATTGGACCCGGCTGTACAAAGAAAAACCCAAGGGGCATTTCTGGCTCTTACAAAAAGCAATGACAGACCAGGTCTGTTTAGCGTCGTTGGATGTGAAGGGGTACAAACTGCTGCCGGGCTTGTAAAATCTGTGCCGCTGCAGCACCCGCCATTACCTGACAGCATGGCCGTGATGGATAGGATCTCGTTGGAGCAGTTGTTGTCGGCACTGGCGATGACCATCTTGCCCAGCTGGGGGTCCAGGGGGAACTCGGCCATCATGGAACCCAGCTCCGTCAGGTCCCCATTGTCGTCCAGGGCTCCGAGGTAGTTCAGAAGCTCCAGGGCTCTCATCAGGGTTTCAGGTGCTAACAGAAAAAAAAGCCCACAGAGACATCCTGTCAATAATGTTACCGGCTGCTAAGTCAGCCAGTCGTCAGTTTCAAGCTAGGTACAGATTTTCTGCTATTCAAAAATATGTGGGCACGTGCAGTCAACAGATGCAGCCGTAGCTTCCAAAGCCAATTCGGACAGAGCCAAATCTTGTGTCTTGCACTCACTGGTCCCCAATGGCAAGTACCCAAGCCCTGGTTCCTCAACGCCTGTTGTGCACATGGCCAAATCTTGCCCCGCACCGAGTCTAGGGTCTTTGCTTTTTACCTGGCGGGTCCATGAAATCAAAGTGGACCAGGTCGTCAATGCCCAGCTTCTTCAGCTGCAGCACCACCGTGCCCAGGTTGGAGCGCAAGATCTCTGGGTATGTGTTGTCCTGCATCTCCAGCTTGTAGGCCTTCTCCGTGTACAGGCGGAAGCACTTGCCTGGCTTGGTGCGGCCGGCGCGGCCTGCCCGCTGCTGGGCGCTGGCCTTGCTGATTGGGGAGACCAGCAGGGACTCTACCCTGATTCGAGGATTGTACACCTAAACAAAAGATATCAAATCCATTCATGAGGTTTACAATAGTGTACTTGATTTGGTTCTCAAAGGTACTACTTTAATATCACACGTACTAGTTGCCACAGGTTTTTAATTGTCACAGGTACCATCAAAGGTACTGGTTATCACAGGTACTAGACACAGGTACTAAATGTTGATTATCACAGGTACTAGTAGCCAAAGGTATTAATTACAGGTATTTGTCACAGGTGCTAGTCACCACAGGATATAAGCCAAAGGCACTGGTTATCACAAGCAATGTCAAAAGTATCCTAACTAACGATGGAAGAACAAAAGGAATGGGGCAGCGCGGACATCCGGGAGTTTCACAAGAGTTTCACACTGCGGCCGGTGAAAACAACTGCACTGAGCACGTGTGTACGTACAGATCAAAAAATGTATAACCCTATCCTCAGACTGGCTGGTGCGTGGGTACGTCGCCAAGGTCGCTGTTTGCACCGGCGCAGTACCCGTCATTTTGCGAGAATCCCGGATGTGCGCATTGCCCCATATCTTTGTTACAGTTTTAATGAAGAGCTTGTCGCTTGTTCGGGCACTAAGGTACTTCGTGAACTTGTATCTGTGAAAACTTATGAATACTTGTGAAGCACTGAACATAATGATGCGTAAATTAATGCTTTCCCTGACAAAGTCTATTTCTCCACCACACCCTTTCCTCTGTCGACTGAAAACATGCCACACAATGTGGCCTTGTTGCGGTTGCCCGCTCCTTTACCTTCTGTTTGGCAAAGCCAGGATCGATCACAAACACCACGCCGTCTATTGTGAGGGAGGTCTCGGCGATGTTGGTCGACACCACCACCTTGCGCCCGATGGCGCCGTTGGCCTTGTTGGGTGGGGCTGGGTCGAAGATTCGCTGCTGCAGCGCTGGGGGGAGGGTGGAATACAGAGGAATGGTCTTGACATCGCCCACCTCGTTGCCTAGGCTGTCAACCTCTCGCTTTATTCGTTTACAGGCTTCCTCAATTTCCTGATTGGTTAAAAAAAAAAAGGTAATGTGGACGAAACTAGATTTCACTCAGGAATGCATGCTTTATGGGACTACAATCATCAGAACCTGGGTACGTTTAAGTCTTTTTGAGAGCAACCAAGCACTTGTCAAATGATGGCTTCATCTCTGGTTTGGCTACCAACGAGCGACAGATTCTAACATTTAAGCCAAACAGAAATTGTCCACTATGCCCTAGTCCTGGTAGGTAGGACGCTCAGAAGTTCTTCATGCATCCTTGCCACACAAAGACACTGTTGAACTGGATCAAATACGGGTGGGGTAACGGGGCTTCAAATCTTGATTCGGATCAGATGTAAACTGTGCTGAACAACCCCAGAGCATTTTTCTTATCTGCATCAAAGGCAACACACGAGTCCAGACAGGCCCTGGGGGCCCCCTACCAAAATGGGTTGGAAATGACAAACGGTCCTCATTGGACTTGGTGGGAGGCACACTGGATAAGAAGTCCGATTTGACGGCAGCACTTACCTCCTGGCCAGTCAAGAAGAGCAAGATGTCCCCCTCTATCTCTTCTCCCATGTGGATCTGGACCACGGTGCGGATGGCTGCCTCGAGGTAATCCCTCTCGGGCTCTGGGGTGTAGAAGATCTCCACCGGGTGGGTGCGGCCGGGGACCGTCATTAGAGGGGCATGGTCGAAATAGTCCTGCAAAGGTAGACGGGGAGGATAGTTGAAAAAGTCAAAAAGACGAGCAGGAAACTTCCTTTGGGAATCCTCAACTTGTTTTGCTGCAAAATCCTGACAAACTCTTCACATCTTTGCTCAGCCTTTAATACTTTTCAAAAGTTGGTGTGCAAAAGGCACAGGAAAATGGTCATATACGGGAACAACTGGGGCTACTTCCACATAGCTGCTAAGCACAGAGGATACATGCTTAGCAAGAACAAGTTACCGGTCAAATTGCCATGTAAAGCACACTACTGGTTCTCTGCATCGAAACTAAACTTTGCTGAGCAACCTTTTTATTTAGTGAAACTGGGCCCTGCTGTTCCTGACAACATGCCTGGTCACAGTGCTACATCCCATGGGTTGTTGTTCACTAGACAGAAGGCTGTGGTTTGTTGTTTGAGCAAATTCTGACATACTACGAAAATATTGGCAAGTCACGAATCTGCAGAAGTCCTTAGAAATGGGGAAACCCCATTCTAAACCATCTTAGAATGGACCTTATTTTCACTCGTGGAGAAGACGCTCCGTCCGTATCTTTCAAACCCGCCTGCGATTCTGACAAGGCTCGCATTACCTGAAACTTGCCAGCGTCTAGCGTGGCACTCATGACCACCACCTTGAGGTCTGAGCGCTGCTTCTCCACCTCCTTAAGGAGACCCATCAGGATGTCTGTGGCCAGGGTGCGCTCGTGGGCCTCGTCAAGCAGTATGACCCCATAGCGCTCCAGGAGAGGATCTGTCATTGCCTCGCGTAGCAACATACCATCGGTCATGTATCTAAACAGCACACATATTACATGTATTAATGCATCACTCTATGATGTGGAAGCTAGCAAAGGCATAATGAAACAAAGATTACAAGTCAAAAGGTCTAAAAAACAACGGCTAATCCGTCAGGATAATGCAAAAAATCAGGGGTCGATCTCAAAAAAAAATCAGGCTATTAAATTTTACTCATTGCAAATGAATGGGAAGTTTCCCTGCCCCATTTTGAGCAATGAGACGAGGACTGGACTCACTTACTTGAGTATCGTCTTGGAGCTGGTGCAGTCTTCAAATCGTATACTGTAGCCGACCTCCTGGCCCAGCACAAGGTCCATCTCGTCTGACACTCGCTGTGCCACGCTCATGGCGGCCACTCTCCGGGGCTGCGTGCAGGCCACTGCCTTCTTGCTGGACATGGCAAACTTGGAGCGGACATACTCCACACACCACTGGGGGATCTGCAACAGAGAAACCCAAAATTGCAACGTTGAAACCCAAAATTGCAACGTTGCAACAAAGAAACCCAAAATTGCAACGTTCCACACATTAAAACTTGAGAGAGCAAAACCTAAGGGCAATTCCTCATCGAATGACAGTTTTTAACTTTTTCAAGCAACTTTCTGCAAAATGTACAATGCAGGTCGAACAGGGTTCCATGAATTTCACCACTGCCAAATCTCATGTGTGTGTTACTGCAGTATCATGGTGCTCAATGACATGAAATACATGTTACAAAGTGTTTCTTGTAGATTTGGTTTGATCCGTGGTACGTTTAGGTCATGCACTAACAAGCCCTCACAAACAGCCAAGACGCATGAGTGATGTACCTGTGTGGTCTTGCCGGACCCAGTCTCTCCAACGAGTACCATGACTTTATACCTATCCAGCATCTCCATGAACTTGGCCTTGTATTCCCAAACGGGCAGCGTGCGCCGCTTGGCCAGGATCTGGTGGTAGCGCATGGAGTAAGGTGTCATGTTGTAAGGGTTGATGCCTAGATTGTTTTGTCTGTAACGAGACAGAGGAGAGAAGCAGCTCATCAGTTGTGTGGAATGTAACTATTCTTGAATGGGTGAAATGCCATCTCACATGGATATAGTCCATACAATGGGAGATTCATAACCAAATTCTTTGTGGTCATCACACCAGCTGCCCTTGGGTCCATGATAGGTTTGTCCCCACTGCAAATTCAAATTGCTACGCATATTGTGAAAATTTGTTTCACGGTAATGAATTTGACAATATCAAATTATTTCCAAATGGATTTTTTTTGGACATGCACATTCCTAAACAACTCTAAAAACAACACACCAAAATTGTAATGAATAAAATTGATCAGTAGAAACTACAGAATGCAAACCGTGGTGTGGTATGAAATTTTGCACTGCAGTCAAATCAGACTTTTTTCAAGTCGACGTTGTGTCTCAGACACCAAGTGCACCAAAAGATGCTCAGCGTGCCCCATCGGTCCATTATTTCGCAGAGTCCGGATATCATACTACGCTGGGTTTTAATGACCAGGCAAGAGTATTCTGAACTGAGGGTACCTAGCTGCGGAGAACTGGTTGACAGCGATCGGTGCGGATGTGATCGCCCCAGAGCCGGATGACGAAGACCTGCCGCGATCATCGCGATCCCGATCCTTGTCACGATCTCTTTCCCTGTCCCTGTCTCTGTGAAAGAACAAGACATACACAAAAATTTACAAAGTTGGCATATTTTTGGAAGAGGAAAAAATATCAGTGGACTCATGCGGCAAGAACTCTACTATTATATTCTGTTTCAGATGACTTCTGCTCCTCAACTGAAAAGTAATCAAGGATCCACTTGCTCATTTTTCAGGTAAAAGTTTCATCGATGGAGTCACTAATTTTCCTTTGCAGCAATTTATAAGCCTAAGCCATTTAGAAATTGATAACATATGATATATTCAAAAGACAAATTAAGCAGGGAAATAACTTGAGAAATTTACTTTGAAACACTTCAATTGTTTCAGACCAGTCAATCACAGCAAGGCCATGAGAATGAAAGTTTTAGATTTGCGACCACCGCCTGCATGCTCCAAAACACCCCACCGAAAAAAAAATCATTATTCACAAAAAATTTCATTATTTCACAATACAGTATGGCGCACGTTCACCATTGATCTTCCGTGAATTCTAACCACATGGTTTACATATTCATCGTGCATTATCGAATTGTTTGTGTCGCTTTGAAATAAGCTTGAAGAGGACGAGAAATAACCCTGATGCTAGTCCAACTATAGGCCTATGTATTAATTCACCATAATGGACAATGCAGTCGACATTAATTTAACGCCATAGAGTTTTCTATAATAACTACATGTCATTTGTGGAGCTCCGACAGCAAAGTGGAAATGGGGCGGAGTGGGGATGGGGCGGAGTGGGGATGGGGGCGATGTGGTTAGGGGCGACGTGGAAATGGGGTGAAGTGGAAATGGGGTGAAGTGGAAATGGGGTGAAGTGGAAATGGGGCGG